TGAGAACATCTTTCTTGTTACTGTTTACATAATCAGTTGCGTTTCTGTTTATTTGGACATTGTTGGTTAAGTTGTTCGATCAAATTCAGGGACATGTTAAATAACATTGACAAAGAAATAAAGTGTGTCTCACTCAAAATCGCGAAATTAAAGTGAGTCAAAATGAAAACTTTTCGCAAAATCGCGAAATTAAGGTGTCGCGAAATATGCTGGTAGCTGGTAACAGGAAAGTAGGGGATTGCCGTCCAGGGCGAAGTATGGTGGAGGATTCGTTCCTCCGGGCCGCTACGGTAGCCATGAAGGCCTGCACGGAACCCTGAAAACGCCTGGCTAACGGGGCTCTGGTGAAGTTTGAAGGGCTAATCACCCATCAAATGGATATCAAGGATTACAGAAACCATGGGAAACATGCACAAAATCACATCTGTCTTTGGAGGAGAGAACGCCCCTTCGGGGGCTAGTATGACGCACCGATGTGAAAGCCAAAGGGAAGCAGCGATGCCGACCCCTCTCCTTACCCCAAAGACAACCACACTACTTGGCACGTGGAACGTCAGGAACATTCAGATAAGAAGGCGAAAGTGGGGTTGGATTGGGCACACCCTGAGGAAAACTAACTGCAATGTCATCAAGCAGGCACTGAGATGGAACCCAAAGGGGAAGAGGAGCCGAGGCCGTCCCAGAAACAGCTGGAGGAGGACGGTAGATGACGAGGCGAGCAAAGCAGGCTACACCTGGTTGCAGCTTGAAAGGATAGCCCAAAACAGACCAAGATGGCGAGCAATGGTTTCCGTGGACCTATACTCCACTGGGAGCGAAAGGGTTTAATGATGATGATGATGAAATATGCGAACCTCAAAATCGCGAAATTAACGTGTCGCGAAAATTTCATGTAATAAGGTAGAAGTTCTTTGTGTTCAGTGTTGTCATTAGTTCAAGTTGCTTAGATTTACTGGTCATTCCTACGCAAAACACAGGCTTCTTCCTGCCTTCAACCCCTCCAGCGCTTTTATCCACAACAGATTTCTTTTGATGTACTTGAATTCTGCGTTGTAGCTTCAGTTAATTTGCTGTAAAATAATTTGGAACAATGGGTCATCAATCATTAGATGGCACGCGATGCATTTGTTCCATTCGAAGTAAAGTATTATCAGGGATTTGGCTGTAGCTAAATGAAATGTTACGATTAAGAAAGAGAGGTAATATGGCTTTGGGTACATTACTCGCTGCGAAGAAAAGTCTATAATTTGGTAGTGCAACACCCACCGACTTATTTCTCAATGGTGTAACAAATAGGAAATCCAGGGAGCCTCGCCTTTTTTTACGAGATAAAAACGAGCCGAGTTCCTCTGAACCGAGTGTAAATTCGGTTACAAATCTCTTGTAGAACACTCATTGAACTATTATCGATAGGTTTTAACAGTTCTTTTCCTTTCTCCTGACAGTAAAGCGAGACTGTGAGGTTTCTCCCTGGTCTGACTGGGGACCTTGTAGCCCTCGCTGTGGTGTAGGTGTCAGTCAGAGGACTCGAACTGTCGCGTTTCGTCCAATGAATGGTGGAAGGGAATGTCCTCCGCTCATTGAAAACAGAGGATGTTTCAGAACTCAATGTGGAGGAAGAGAATTAGGTAAGCATTTGGTACAGAGTTGCAAAAGTCATAGTTTTTAAAAAAGTAAAATTTTCTCAAAAGAGTAATCACTCATTGAAATCGCTCATTTCTTGAAAATAAGCGTCCAGTTTCCCTTGCGCAAGAAAATTTGTTCAAAGTAATCGCTCCATAAAATAAAAATGTGTTCCTGCTTGTTATTCATGATAACCAGACAGGATACGTCAAAGATCGCTTTACGGGTAAAACAATTTGATCTATCTATAATGGTTATATTGTAGAAGAAACCAGTCCAGGTCTGATGATTTCGTTGATTTTGACAACGTTTTTACAGTTAAGAACGGGTGTTCTTTGTTTTGGCTCATGCTCAGACTTCCTTCACCTCCTTCCCTGGATTAAAACGTTTTATAAAATCATGAACCTTGAACAATTGCAATAATACTGGTTCAAATTGTTTTTTGGGGGGTTTTGGTAGACATGGTAGAAGTACATAAAACACCGATTAAAAGCCCTTAGGAGGTCTGTTATTTATAACAGTTGAACTATGATTTTAACAACAACACGATTTCTTCCCAATGTTACCACGAACTTTTGGTGCTGGATAACAGTTCCATGAAACCTTTGCTTCAGAAAGGAATTGACCACGCAGTTTGAGATAATAAATAATTGCGAATAGATAAAAAGCCTATTTATTACGTAAATTATTTTGAATCTGAAATTATTTACATAGATGATCTTTTATTTCATTAAAACAATAACGACCCTTTCGGACTATTTTTCAAAGAAAAACAGTTAAATCAAAATTCTTCCATGGGCAGGCCTTCCACACTCTATACCTAACTTGTTTTATACATCCCTGTTATTTCTTAACCTCTCCTTTGTTACTGATTGACAAGAACATCTTTGATGTGAAGAAAAAGAAATCAAGACTCTTATTCGCTACTTGCTATTGAAAAAGCTCGGCCTACTAATATTATAATAACATCGTGACAACGTAACGTAATTATCCACAAATGGAAAGGGATTTGAACTTTTCGGCTCAGTATCATGACTGTTACCTTGCTTTGTTCCACTCCAATCATATTTTAAGGTTTTCCGTACAAAGTGCTTAACAACACTCTCTTCACTAGTACAAAATTACACAAGGTGAGTTTCAGAAGTGACGATATATGTACTTTCTTCGAAGCTGAACCAGAAACTTTCTGCAATTTTGGAATGACTGTGAATTTTACTGGTCAGTACCTTTATCAGATCAACAGGATCGCTTTTAATACCTTGTCGAAAAGTTATATTTGGAAGAATATTAACGCAATGCCCTTCAACTAATTTACTCAATTACTTTATTTATTGTTGGAAACTTGTTTCTGTAGAACTGCGGAGAAAACTAAATACCTGCTAAAATTTTAACTTTAGGTAATACAGATCTTCAATTTGATGTTAGCTGTTGAAAAGACAAAAAAAAAAGTTGTACTGAAAAAAAAAAAAGATTTTCCATTTCTCTCTAAGGAAATGAGTATAAAGTGATCCATTTCTTGTCTTGTTACAATTTGAAGTAAACTTTTGTTTGTATAAAAACACACAAACAGATATTTATTTTTCTCCAGATTTAGGCCATTTCTTAACGCAACTTAGCAAACAGTTGTAATGTTATCTGTCAGGTGTACTATTTTCCTGATGTCCGTTATTGAAAATACTTTTGAAGAAATCGGCGCACTCATCACTATTTCAATTTTCAGGTTTCGCAAGAATTCTACCTCACAAATACAAGAAGGACCGGGCTCCATCAGTGTGGGAAAAAATCTTACCAGCACCCAGAGTAGAAGTGAAGACAGAGGAACCAAAGAGGTAACGATTATTCCGCTTTCCGCTTCTGATTAAACGCAAAAGAAGAAATGCGGAGAGCACTCTGACCATTGTAAGGCTGAAGGTGGCTTACTACAGTTTTGATGGATTATAACAGCCCAACTTCTAACTCTTTTGACAAATGTTCCAAGATGTTTTTCCTTTCTCTATTTACTGTTTACTTAAGTCTTTTACCATTCTCTGTGAAACTTGAACAATTTAACGTCAACAAATGGCCAAAATGAACGACCGAGTACCTAAGGAGAGACTGGGGACTAGCAGGTTAAATCACGTTTTTCTTAAAATCTACCCGTATGACTCCACCTCAAAATTTTGGGAAGAAGAAATTGGCTCCTTTTCAACATTCATGCAAAGTAAAATAGAAATCTGTAAGACAGATTTTTCGCAAACTAAGAAAATGTGAGATCAAAAATAGCTCAAAATCTGTCTAACAGATTTTTTTAAAATTTTGGCTCTAAACGTGATTCAACCCTACAAATGGACTGTGAAAATTTCATCATGGGTTGTACGGTAGGTTTTCGAGCAATCCTCAATCAAACGACTGGCTTTTACAACCTTGGACGAGAATTGAATTGCGCATGCCCTTTATTTAAGCGCGCGCTCATGTGACGCCATGTATCGCGTGCGAGAAGGCAAGAGCAATTCAGGGCTCTTTTACCGGTTGTTTATCGAGTTTTTTTTGTCATATTTTTTTGGCGCTAGTCTTAAACACATGTTTGAACGGAGTTTGAAACTATTGCTACGTATACTGAAGTGATTTAACGCCTTTCAAGTGCTGGAGTGGTTTTCGTTTCTTCTTAGGGTGGCTTGCGTCATTTGTGCACGCGCGATTAAACTAATCCTGCAATCCTCTTTGGGTACCCAAAAGGCGCACTCATAAATGAAAATGATTTCTCGGCATACTTCTTCCGTTAAGCTGTCGTTTATAAATGTCGGCTGACTGTCCACAAACCACCTTGCACCATCGTGTACCGGCGACACTACCTGCACGTAGCCTCAACCTTTTCTACGGGAAAGTTTTGTATGTCAGCATAGGCAAGGCTCCTCTCTTGCCTGCAGTTAGTAATGCAGGCTATTTCTCTAACCAGTGAGAACGTTTTTCTTTGTGTAGGCCAAGCTACTGTGTCAACTACAAGATTTTCTTTAAGCACCCGCATTGTAAAGATACCTGGGCAGACCAGCTCGATCCACAGAAACCAATCTGTGTGGAATGCCAACACGATGCCATGAACAGGCATGGAAAGTGCAAGGGCCAAGGAGTTTTTGGCGACGTGACTCTGTGGGAAGCGGTTGACCTCAAAAGCTGTTACGGTGGCTGGCTAAAGATTGGGCCAAAGATTCCTGACTGTAAATGCGAAAACAAAGATTTTAACAATTTCATATTTATATAAAGGCAACAGCAGTATTTAGTTTTTGTAGCCAACCGCTTGCTTTATTATCAACCGCTATTAGTTTTAGTCTCGCATGGTATTGAAGTGTTTTAGAGCATCTTTTAAGGGTGTGGTGTACTGATATTCTTCATTGCTTGGTTAGTTGACAAGTTTTATTAATAAGTAAGTCATGTTATGGCTTTCCCCTCATTCACAAATTGTCATCAAACAGTCCTATAGCTTAGCGTGCAGTTCATTCGCTTTTGAAATCGTGAAGTAAGCCTGATAAAATGACCGAGAAGCCGTCTTGTAAATGTAACGAAATTGAAATTCCTTTTGAGCAACTTTTATACAGTTGGACGATTTGCTAATTTGTATGACTGCGAAGAGAACTACGTACTATCGAGTTATATATTGTGCGCTTCACTGATTTGTTAGGATACAATTTGAAATACTTCTAGAATAGTCTTTTAGGTACCAATCAATTACTCCCCGGCTGTAGAGATCGTATCCTTAGCGTTTTTGGATTGGCACGTAGCGATGGAGTTTCTGGGTGGCGTTCGGCTGTGTACTTCGACGATTTATCAAAGGAACAGTCGTGACATTTTGCTTTACTTTTCGAGACTCCTGCAGGTTGCTTTATGAGAGATAAAAAAGAGAGATAAGAGATAAAATTTTTTTATGTTTTACACTGCACCACAAGCTAGGGTGAAGGGCCTTTCAGTGAAGTGAAACCGGGCCAAATGACGCCGCTTTCGCAAAATTACCCAAGATTTGATTGAAATGGCCCTACCCTGGTCCGCATCAAAGTTCTCACTAAAATGCAGATATGATTAGCTGGTGTTAATTTGTGAGAACTGAATATGGCAGGACATACGTCCTGTTAAAGAGGACCTGGAAGGTTTTTCTTGATCTGCTCAGGTTTATGTCTTTGAGATAATAGAGATTCCTCTTTGTAAGTTGTCTTTCATTTTCTGGCATTTGTCGTACATATATGGCAATAGATATACTTATAAGTAAGTTAGCAAAGCCGTGCTATCAATACTAGATATGCAACGCTTTCGAGTGGTATACCATGGTTTATAATCCATCAAATATTTTCGCTCGGGCGTGATTGGTCTAAACACGTCACGTGACCGAATATTCCCCAGCTAAACTGGGGAATATCCGAGAATATTGCCCAGTTTTCAAAACTGCTCGTGTTGCGAAAAATATTTGAAGGATAATAAACACAATAGCCTCCATTTGGCGCAAAAATATGTACGGATATTTGTCCTTGGACATTATCTGTTCCTTGAAGCTCACAGTTTCTCTCGGAAAACTGTTCGCTTCTGGGAACAGATAATGTCCGCGGACAGATATCCGTGCATACTAATATTTTCGCGCAAAAAGGAGGCTATTGTTTACTTATACCATGGTCTACAAATATGGTAAGTGTACGCGTGGTTTTTTGGCGGCGTTTAACAAACATTCATAATTATTTGCATTTTTATTATTTCGCAATTTCACGCATTTTTATTCAATTTTTTTTCTTTTTCTTCGCTTCTTGTCATTCACATTTTACCCGTCGGAGACTGTAGTTCAGGCAGTCGAAAGCTTGTAATTTTTTAATCGTTTTAGCCACAGATAGTTTTTAAATTTTTACTATGTTTATCCTGACTGCGGCCCTTCAATATTTTCACGTTTTTATTTTTATTTGAGTCTAGTTTTCTATATTTTGGGGGCGTTTTTAATAAAACAATTATTCCACTCGCGCCTGTTGGATATGATCATATGAGATGATTATAGCCAACCCGCGCTCGTGGAATGACTTGTTAATATTATGCCATGTCATAGAAAATACATAAAATATACAATCAATGCAGCGTGGCGAACCATGGAAAGGTTGGGTTAATACCATCGAATATACAACTGTTTTCCTGTATTTTGATTGGCTGTGTTTGCTATGGCATGGTTTAAAACTCAGTATACGTGAGAGGACTTCATAATCCCCTTCCACTCGCAGTGTCAGTTAACAAATCGAATGGGGTTTAGCGTGGTCTGTACCCTTATCGACAACGATACGCGTCATGTGAGTCCACAACATTTTGACCACTGTGATGACGCGTATTGTCGATAAGAGTACAGACTACGCTAGCCCACATTCGATATGTCTTTTAATTCAACGTCAAAGAAAAGGTGTTTTTCAGAGCGCGAGCTGAGAAAGGCATTGCTTGACACATTGACGCGAGCAGCGAGGTAAGTTGCCCGTGACAACACCATAATTTTAAGGCCAATACTTCGTAACCAAACTTCCCTCGTGCCTTACTCAACTGATAATCGCGGTATTTTCGCGCAAAAAGAGAGATTTAGAGTAACCCCTTTACTAACAAATGAAGATTTTAAAAACCCTTGACTCAGATGATCAAGTTGTATCCGCTGCGCGCAGCCTATACCACGTGGCCACCTCTTAGTTGGGAGCAAAAATAGTGGAAGAATACAGTATGCTGAACAGCAATTAAAACCAATTGAAACATTACAGAACAACAACTTTATTTGTACTCAGCTAGAAATTAAATGACCAAAAGTAAGTTAAAATAAAGAGTACATAGCTGCCCGAAATAACGTTAATGGGCTAGTAAGACTGGGCAGCCATCCTTAGTGATTTAACGCAATTATTTATTAGCAATTATTAATTAATGTCTCAGGTAATGGACAAGAAAAAAAGACAACCAGTCCAAAATAGATAAAAGTTCAAAAAAAGATCCCACCAGAAATACTGCCACGTAGCACTCAAACCCTACCAACAGCTAAAACATCTGACTTCTAATAGGTTCAAAAACGCAATAATTCTGTTTTCCTAGAAAAGATCAGTCAGCTCACTTTGAATCACTGGTCAAACAAACGCGTATACCGATGAGCAGATGAGAAGCCTTTCAAGCAACACGAAAAATTTCATATTGTCCATTTATTTATATATTTATTTATTCATTTTAATTGTCTTCTGTAGCATCCCCTAACTGTTAAATTACCTTTAAACTGAAGGAAACCTAAAAATAGCAGTTTACTAGGACAGAAAAACACCAAAGAGCTGATAAACCATAAAAGAACGATGATTTAGAATTGAGAAGATTAACACAGATTTCAAACGACAAACTTGAAAAAATTAGGCTAAACATTTCAAGAAGCACATACCGTGACGTAGCTCGTTAAAGTGCCATAGGATCTCACGGAGCATCCTGAAACAATTGGCCAAACTTTACAAGTTTCTCAGTTATAGCTACCCTTGTTCATATTCGGTTTTTCATTACTTTTTTGCATTACTCTACCCTAGAACACTATTATTTTGAAGTTCCGTTTAATTTAAAAGTAATTCGTACACTGACAAAGTAAAACATCATGACATAGTTCAGTTGAGGATGTTACCGCGTTTGGTAATTTGCAAATCACAAGTACGTCTTCTTTAGCAAACAACTTTCAATTGTTTCCTTTCCGTTAACGACTGGCGCCCCTTGTTCGCAGGATTGAGCCATTTTCGCACGCTCGAGTTTCTCCGGGTTTCTACGTGCTTTGTCACCTCATTCAGATTATCTTGGTTTTGCTGCAGTGCAGGCTAATCTTGCGGTTGTCGATTTTTCTCTGTTCGTTTTACAAAGCGAGCTAAACAAGCCACTTGTTATTTCATTCGCAACCTCGATTCCGCAATATCACTCAGGGCTTGCTGAATGAGCTCCAGTAACTTTTCTGGAACAAAACAAGAGTAGCAGTCAGTAATGAGGACACTTAAAGTGGTACTATGACGAAAATCGCATCTTTCCTATCAAAGCCATTTTAAAACATAAACAGGTAAGCTGTAAGAGAAGAAAAATGCTGTTTGGTATTTTCAAATATCTCTTTTCGTTCCAGAGATGTGTAAATTAGCAAAATGATGACGTCATACACTCAACCAAATTTTGATCAAATATGATGAATAGAGATATCTCGGCCAATTTGTATCAGAAATGTTTGATTCTTTGCAGGACTCTACTAAATATGCTCCACAATATAAGCTTATCAGTTTTGTTACCATGGCAACATACTGGGCTCCAGACCTCCCCAATATTAAAGGCATTTCTGGCCATCTTTGGCATTCCAATTTCCTATTTGCAAATGGTGCCTCATATGCATGATCCAGCAAGCATATAAATATGTTAGCTCCAGTTTGTGGCCTCACTTAACGTTTTTTGAGCTGAAAATCACTAAAATATTGAAATCAAGTGGGTGAGTACTGGAAAAGAGTGAGTTGCCATGGGAACAGAATTTTTTATAGCTGTAGGTGCGTTTCCCGTAGAACTATTAGCCTACCAAGTTTCAATGGTCTGCACTGCAAATTGGCCAAGATAGATCTATTCATAAACTTGATATAATGTTGGGTTGAGTGTATGACGTCATCAGTCACCTCATTTGCATATTTTACACATTTTTCAAACTGAAATATCTCCAGAACTAACGCAGATATTTGCAAATGGTAAACGGCATTTTTATTCTTTCATGGAATTATATGTGATACACCTAAAAAATCAAGGGGTAACAATTTGACCATAGTACCACTTTAAGAAACAGAAAACACTTTCTCCATATTTCTATCAACTTTTGGCTGCGGGATTTTTAGAGATTCCATATCATCCTGTCAAGTTACATTTGCGACAGGAAAATTTAGTTTTGATTCCATATCAAGTCATGTACATGTATGTAATTTGTTTAAATTTGTTTACCCATGGAGCACCAAGGAGTTCACAAGAACTCATTCAGAAATGCCCATGCATTCTAGGATCGAATTGGAATTTGGAAATATTGGTTTTTGAGGAGAGGGGAAAACCGGAGTACCCCAGGAAAAACCTCTCGGGGCAGAATAGTAGAGAACCAACAACAAACTCAACCCACATATGATGCCGGGTCTGGGAATCAAACCCAGGGTACATTGGTGGGAGGTGAGCACTCTCACCACTATGCCATTCCTGCTCCTCTTAGCAAGATAAAGTACTTTTGGATGAATAACCTGTAAAGTACATAATGCTGAGGAGCTGGGAATGAGAATGAGAACATTTAATAAGTATAAACTACTACGTTTGGTCTTTGTGATGAAATCTTGAGCAATCTTCCGTCTTGCTGTATTCAGCTCAGTAATGCTCAGCCAATACAGTTAAGACCTCAGTTTGAGATTTTCCCATAATGACTTAACCCTTGGTTATACATGCAGGGCTGTCAATAAGCGCTGTAACCCATGACACCTGCTACATGTACATGTATGGCTGATAAGACATTGTTTTGCAGGTGGTGTTTTCAAAAAAGTTTCATTTTTGCTGTCCATGGTAAAACAGTCTTTTCATTGAGCTCTACTTTGGAAAGCATTTTCACTTACATGTGCATGGAGATACAAACTATTTAGAGAAGAAAACCGGATTTTAAGTCATTAAAGCTTATATTTGTAGGCAAACACAGAGATCCATCACTTTTTGATTTCAAAATTTATTTATCAAAAGTAACAACCAGTTATTAATAGCGGAGCCCCATATAGGAAAGAAAAGGAAACCCATGAGTTGATTTTCTCATGGTTGTCATGGCTAGCGGTATTGCTCGGGGGGGTGTAATGCACAACAGTGACGATGACGACGACAACAATGGCATCGCGCAAGATGGCGGCCACACTCCAAATAATAGGTTGACAGAGATGCAGCCTAGGTTTACTGTGTACTTCTTAGATATTGGACATCCATGCTATGATCAATTGACACCTGTGAAAACAAGGTATCTGCTGACCAGTATCATGTGAACATATCGCGGGCTCAAGTTTACAGCTCATCAAGGTCATGTTTTTTTTTGAAGTTGACCACTGACCAAGTGCTGCTTTTTTTTCCAATTGTATCACAGGCTCATGTCAGGTTAACTTGTTGAAAACAGGGCAGGACTGTTCGGAAGCCAGTTAACGCTAACTCAGGATTAAAAGTTAACCGAATTTTTGCTTTTTCTTCTATACAAGTGTTTTTTGCTGCTTTGTTTTGTTATATGGTGATTATTAAGACTCAAAACAGAAGGCCAAACATTACACAGAAAACATCACCGCAAAGTTCCAAAACTCAAATCAAAATTCTACCTTTTCTTGGGTTAGCTTAATCGGGCTCTGAGCAACCCGACCCGGGAGCTACGCTTTTAGGCTGGCCTAAATCTATATATTAATGTCTCCAACTCACCTCAAATGCGATCCATTCTCTTGGTACACTGTGGATCAATTGCCTTTCTTGTTGAACACATCCGTTTCACCAATGCCAGTAGAAGAAGAATCATCAGTGTCTACTAGCTTACTTCTAAGCCAGGAGACTGACTGGACGTTTTGTATTTACCGAAATAATGAGCGANAAAGTTATCAGATCAGCGATTTCAAGCGAAGCTTTCATTATCTTCCCCCTCTGGAAATTCAGAGCTGAACCCTTCCCTCTCCCAATGTGTTCGGAATTCCAAACTGCATTACCCCCCATGCCTTCAGAATTTCAGTTCAAGAAACCCCCTCTCCCTTGGAATTCCACGATGCCACCTGTGGTGTGGCATGGATATTTTCTGGAATCATTCATTTCACAAACACTTTTCGTAAAAATGTTCAAATGTATATATATACAGTCATGTGTTTATAACAACAATTAAATAATGATAAATGTGGTATGCAAATTACTTCCTCAAATCTTCACTTGTCAGTACACCATCACCAGTCTTGTCAGCTTTTGCAAATGCCTGTTCCACCACCTTCAATCTCGTACCTGTCAAAGGTTTCTAGACAAAATCAAGGATTTAATTAGATTTCAACCCACAGTACAAATATACAGTTTTCAAAGATCCATTTAGGCCTGGTTTAAACATCGCAGTTTACATGCACCAAATCTAATTGCCGAATTAAGTGCATGTAAAATGTGACATTTTAAAGTGGTACTATGACGAAAATCGCATCTTTCCTATCAAAGCCATTTTAAAACATAAACAAGTACCTGTAAGAGGAGAAAAAAGCTGTTTACTATTTTTAAATATCTCTTTTCGTTCCAGAGATATTCAAGTTTTTAAAATATGTAAATTGGCAAAAAGATGACTTCATACACTCAACCAAATTTTGATCAAATATGAAAAAAGATATCTCAGCCAATTTGCATCAGAAATGTTTGATTCTTTGCAGGAGGATTCTATTAAATGTGCTCTACAATACAAGCCTATCAGTTTGGTTACCATGGCAACATACTGGGTTCCAGACCTCCCCAATATTAAAGGCATTTCTGCCACCTTTGCTGTTCCATTTTCCTATTTGCAAATGGTGCCTCATATGCATGATCCAGCAAGCATATAAATATGTTAGCTCCAGTTTGTGGCCTCACTTAACGTTTTTTGAGCTGAAAATCACTAAAATACTGAAATCAAGTGGGTGGAGACTGGAAAAGAGTGAGTTGCCATGGGAACATAATTTTTTATCGCTGTAGGTGTGTTTCCTGTAGAACTATTAGCCTACCAAGTTTCAATGGTCTGCACTGCAAGTTGGCCAAGATAGATCTATTTATATACTTGATATAATATTGGGTTGAGTGTATGACGTCATCAGTCATCTCATTTGCATACTTTACAAATTTTTTGAACTGAAATATCTCCGGAACTAACGCAGATATTTGCAAATGGTAAACGGCGTTTTTATTCTTTCATGAAATTCTATGTGATACACCTAAAAAATCAAGGGGTAAAAATTTGATCATAGTACCACTTTAAGTCGACTGATTCTTGGAACATTCCAAACTTGAGGCAAAATTCATTTCCCTTGGATTTGTTTTGTTTCACTATACAGTGTGTATTAAGCGGACCCCATATCAAGCCAACACCCCCTATTAAGTGGACACCAGCTTAGCTTGAGTCCCAAACTTTTTTTCCCACGTTTACTGTAAAATAAACCTGCTTTTGGTGGACACCTCGGTTAAGCGGACGCAGTCACCAATTTTCAGCCATTTTGTTTTACAAAACCTGCAATAAGCAGACAGTTCAAGGGCATATACTTCTAAAGGCTCAGCTTAGACTCCTTTAACATTGTTCACCGATGTCGTTTTTAAGCTAAGTAGATTATTCCAGATTGATGCATTGACTGACTGGACATTGTCTATGAGCAGTCTTTGATCTTACACCGTGTTACGCTGTGTCACAAAAGAGTTAATAATCAACTATTATTGCACAACATATTAGAACCTGTTTAGAGTGGACACCCTTTATTAAGCAGACACTAGTGAGTGTCCCAAGGGTGTCTGCTTATTACAGGTTTCACGATAATTTTTTCCCCCTATATCTCGAACTCTGATTTCTTGGACCAATTTTTGGTAGTATGGTCGTCTAACAGAAAGAATTATTTGGTGAGCACATGTGGGCAATAGAAGAGACAAGTTGGAAGTGAATCAAGTATTTTTGAGATGATTTTGTACATTTCCAAGAAATCCCATAACCCTCTTAGTTACAGTACCGGTAGTTACTTTGCATGAATTCATTTATCTTTTGTAACATGTATCATCAACAGATTCAAACTTCAAAACTAGAGTTTAACTTTTCTTATCATTCATGTTGCACAGACATCTTTACTTTACTAAGATGACAATTGAGCAGTGTTACCAGCTCTGACTTACCAAAAACATGATATTATTGTATTAAGCAAGACTGGTTTTCACCATGTTGTATTTTACTGAGACATCAAGAAACTCATACCTCCCTTCTTTACAGCTTCTTCTAGTTTCCTGCCTGCTGCATTACTCTCAGCTTCCAACTTGTGTAAGCTTGCTGCCTGAGTTGCCCATAATTTCATTAAAAAGGTCAAAGAGAATGAAAATAAATCCTGAATAGGATAAATCCTTTTAAAATGAGAGCTGACTGTTGAATTTTCATAGCAATGTCTACAGCAGAAGAAGTGAAAGGAAATATATTTCTGACATGCTTATTTTACAAACAAGTTTGCAAGATGACAAGTCAAGACAACTAAAGGGTTTTTACAGGTTTGATATCTCTTTAAAGCATAACTATTTGTCGCAAACGTTATTTTTCAATCGAATGCTTTATTACCCTGAAATCGAGATATTAAAGTTCCGAGTAGAGCCACACCCATCCAAGTTGGTTGAGTGTCAACAAGATAAGGCTAACTGAGGCTCCTCTATGATTGTGACATCACTTTGGGAACCACAAATCTTGCTGAAAATATTTTTCTCCTGAAGCTTTGTGGGAATGTTGTACCCTGGAAACATAATTTTGAGATCTTAAAAAAAAAAAGAAAAATTGGGGATCTTATGAAAACCACAACAAGAATTGGAACTAGAATGTCAAAAAGCAAACTGAAAACAATGTGAGATAACCAATAATTCTGAAGAATTTTAGACCACAATGGCTAATATTTCTGTATTTTTATTTGGAAGTGAATGCATTCTTCATGTGCTTTTCCTGAAGTGACGTCATTAGACATTGATTTCCAAGCACTCAGTTGGCTTGGAAAAGGGGAAAAGGTCCCAGAATTGTAAAGATGTCCTGGGGACTAATACATATGCAATTACAGATATACAAAATGTAAAAGCCCTGTAGGTGATATAGAAATGCTTACTAAATTAGGCACATGTCTGCTTCCTTAAATTAAAAATGTTCATTTCTGAGTTACAAAAATGATGACCATGCTGTCTTGAATGTTATGAATGGAGGTTACATCTAAAAAGGTGAGTCAAGATTAAGATGAAAGGAGGGCAAGGGGTTACAATATACAAATCTTACTTGAAGCTCCGGTGAGCATTCTTCACTTGGAAGTGACTCGATTAGGAAATCAATATCCTTGGCAGTTCTTGCGATGAGAGTAGCAAACAAAGCAGCATGTCCTTAAAAAAGAAATTGAATTGTCACTTTTCACGATTACAGTGCCTACCAGTGAATATTCTATCAGGCTATGTTTCAGTACAACAAGGACCACATACATATAGTAAGAGCTACAAATGTACAATACATGAACATATAAGAATCTACAGTACTGTATTTAGCTATAACAATTGCAAACAAATTTATAAAACCAATTTGAGGCTGTGACAACATAAAGGAAACAGGAAACAGCACAATAATCAGCAGCCTTAGCTGACCTCCTTTATGTCTTTAATTCATAGCTCTGGTGTAAAGAGAAAAATCGGTTGTGATAAAAGAAACTGTTTATCTTCCTAAATTCCCAATGCTTTGAAGGTGCCGAACTTGAAAGGATGTCTTGAGCATTGATCTTGTAAGGTGATTATAATGTCCAGCAATAATCTGTGTTCCTCAACCAATCAGAATGCCAGACTCTTATATTCTAATTTACCTATGTAAATTGTTCTTATCTATACACAACATTAAGTTAAAATACATGTAATTAACAAACCTTCTTGGGTAACATCACCACCATCTGCAAAAGTAGTCCAAATAAAAATGACATTAAAAAGGTGGGCAAGTTAAATTAAAGTTACAAAGTTTGATAAAGAAAATAATAAGTAAAGTATCATGTGCCAGCTTAGAAGATAAAGGGTAAATTAAAATGCATTCAATGCCAAAAATTAACTTTGTTTCTTTTGATTTTGTTTGCAGAAATTAAACCCTTGTATTAGTCACAGATATAATAATAAATATAATAAAGGCTTGGCTAAATCTATATACTCAACTCTCATTATAGTGGACGTGCTTGGGGATGTCGCGTAGTGCCCGTAATAGCGAGAGTCCATAATAGTGGGGTGTGAGATAAAAAGTGCCCTTAACATGCAATAAATAACATAATAGACAATGTCTGTGAAGCAAGGACCATTGCGCAGACAAAAAAAGAATCAATGTGAAAATAAACATGTGCAAAGTACTTGGTGTCCACTTTATCAAGAGTGAAAACAATGAAATTGCCATTTTGGTACCACAAAAGTGTCCGTAATAGCAAGAGTCATTTCCAGTCAAACCTCTATATAATAATAATAAAGCTCGGTATTTTCCAGATGTGATTTGCTTGACTTAGGTCCCCTCTATAGACTACAATTTGTTTTGCAGTGCAGTTGATATGTCATGCCCACTCCCATGCATTCATAAATGTTTTGATAGAAAAAAGTATTCAAATTTGCCTTCGAACTTGATGGTAATTTTAACTTTTACAGGTAATATTTATGCAAAAAAATATTTCGTAAAACTACTTTTACATAAGGTGTTCTAATCAGGAAGCTGCAAGTACAAATATCTTTAATTGCGTGGTAATTTATTGTATAAAGAAACACCATGGTACTTGCAACTGATTCCAATTGGCTATAATCCCTGATGCTCAGCTAAGATATTTTTTGCTGGCAACTAGATATAGATCATTTTCAGGTGACGTCATCATTTTCTAAAATTGAAAACTAAAGAGTCATTAAAGTTTTTATCCCCATCAGGCATAAGGAGGGGTAAATTTATATCTGTTTACAATGTTACAGCTCAATAGTGTGCTTTGTTTGAAAACCAGTGTATTTTGAATTTCAGAGTTACAGCCGTGCGTGACACAAAGCTACGATCTTACTTGTTGAAAAATATATACCTGTCTCATGATTTTTAGCTTTTTTAGAAGTTAGATCATTAGGAAAAGTGCTTATGTAAATGTTTGTTTGTGCAGTACAGATAATCAGTCGCCTAGATAGCCAAAGTAAGTTCCAGATGTTTACACTATTTTCTGGCTGCCATATTGGTGCACCACAGAGGTGCACCAACATGGCGTTTCCATACTGGGCTCTGTAAATTTCTGTGAAACATTGTGACAAATATCTGCAGTCTGGGAAAACACATAAACCTAAAACTTGGAGAAGTGTCTTTCGCTATCTATTTGACTTTATCCACTAAATGATTTTCGATTTATTTTTTTATTGCGTGACAGTGAAAACGATCTATAGACAGTACTTGCATTGGTTTCCCTAGGTGCAGGCCTTCTCTAGTAGATCTTGGCTTCCAAGGAATTTCAACCTCGGCTGAATGCAGACTGAATTATTTGTTACACTGGAACTAGTTAAATGTAGCCAAATTAAACTGATGGAGCAGCTATTTTCACAGGAAAACTCCTAGCCAGGGCAAAAAAAAAAATCAGGTGAGCAAAGCAAGCCAAGCACGGTTTTTTCTCCTCCCCAAACTGCTCTTAGCTTGCTCTGTTTGCCTATTATTTTTTCACCCTATAATCCATTTGTGAGTCTGGTCACTGACTACCACAGTTGAGAGGTCCAGGTTCAACACCTGGCTGGGGTTGATGACTTGTATTCTTGGGCAAGAAACTTTACTCTCACAGTGACCCCCTCAACCAGGTGTATGGCAAATGGGCAGAACAAAGTCAATAGTTGGGATAACCCTGCAATGCACTAGCATCCCAGCCAGGGAGGAAAAGAATTCACCTAGTGAATTCAACCTCATGTGATGGAAACTGGAGATAATCACCAACCTGATGAGCCACTAAGCTCAAACACAGACTTAACCCTTCCTACCTATTATTGCTACTATTTTTCTTATTATTACGGTACAATCACCATCAATATTTAAGAAATAGAAAACATTTCTGTGTTCCTATTGAGTTTCAGTATAAATCTACTAGTATTCTATCACAAATGCCATTTGCTGATTGGTTACACTACTCACTATCTATTCTGTTATAGAGAGTGAGTAGCCTAGTGTTATGCACTTGCTAACGAACTGACAGTCACTTCTTCGTGCTTTCAAAGTGTCTGTGAAGAGGATTTAAATAAAATTTTGAACGACTAATAGATTTATACTACAACAATTAGATTATTCACTCTCGCTTTCTATGGATCATAGTTGACTCAGGCTGTGCCCTCCTCAACTACCACATGATAGAAATCTCAAGCTCATAATCTAATTGTTTAACAGAAACATGAGGGGAAATTTAAGAGATGAAGGAATTATGATCATTAATAAGGCCAAAGGCTGAAGGTAATGTAACAAGCAACACTGGGGACCCCTTAAATTAATTGGCTCTGCTAATTAATTAATTAATTAANTTTTCACTTTTGTTTACGTTGACAAAAAGAGTTCACATGTCAATTGTGTAAGGATAATTGTTCTCAGATTCATCACATCCTTTTGTTAACTCTCAACTTTTTGGTGCGTCTTATAACCAAGTATTTTCACATAATTTTCAGTTTGGGAACTTTGCATGATTAAGTTGCCAAGTTTGGGGTGCGTCTTATAGCCGAGTGCGCCTACAAAAACTACGGTAGGTGGTCTTTCATTGGCAAAATCACAGCCACATAACAAACCATGACAAACAAGAATGATTTTCAAGCATCATAATTATATGGCACTTCCATAAAAATTGAGGTAAACTTGAATAATGTTGGGCCTACATTTCTCAAGTTCTCCTTAATGCAGTCTGATTAGCCCATCCTTGCCTGTTTCTGGTTTTTCTCTGTTTCTTTTGAATAATTTCCTCTACGGTTTTAAGCCATTATTGTGAATTTTGTTTTTAGCAAAATCTCACATGCACTCCATCACAATTCATAAACATAAACTTAAAATTCGTTTCTAGTAATATGACTTACTTTTGTCAAAGCCAGAGAAAATTTTTTCTGGTGGAGCTGTTTGCTGAAGTATTCCAACACTGTTACAAAACTGATCTGCAAGCTACAAGACACCAGTGAGCAACATTCCATTTTCTTTCAAATAAATGATAAATACCCCATCCATATTGCAATAGCTACAAGCGAAAGTTTACAAAAATGTAAATACAAACCTGATTTAAAGCGTCTTGCAACTGTGTGATCCTGTCCGCCATATTTCCTCAGCGACCACGCAATAAGCCCTGCAGTTCCGTTGGTCCACCCCTAATTAGGTATATATCACAACACGTGCCAGTGTTCTTTCTCTGGCTAGTTTGTCCGAAGAAGACAAAGGTAACCGATTTGGTGAAAACGAATTTCTTGGGCGTGCACATCGTTTCGTGTCTAAGCTGACTTAAAAAGTGAGTAGAATAATAATTAATGTGTACTTAATAAAGTCAACTACCTAGATCTATGAAGAACACCACCAAGCGCGAACAGTTTTAACCATCGACCATTTTGAACTACGAGCTTAACTATCACTCTGTGGTTGTATTTCGCATATTACTACAGGCTCAATAAATTCTGTCAATTTATCATTAAGTAGAATGCCAGGATGAATCCTCGTTGTGGACTGAGACTCTGCATCTTGCCAACCAATTGACTGAATTGAGTGGTCACATGGTATAGGGTGAAATACTAACCCCCAAAATCTTCTCGTTGTAGCTATTTTCGTTAATTTCTTATGAATTTTCAACGTTCGTAGAATTGGCCTTTCCCATGTACACGACCGAGGACTAGCAGAGAATGGAACGAATTGGCTTCTGATGTCATTTCGGGAATAACAGTGTTTTGCTTCTTAGAAGAATACATTAGTATTGTCAGACAATACCTATTATCGGACAGCTGAGGAAAAGACCCTGACGTTTGGAAGAAAACCTCGTCAAGCCAAATCCAGCTTATTCCTTTGATAGCAGCTCTCGTCTTGAGTCTAGCGATCAATTTTTATCCAGATCCGTTTAGGGTTTCCTGAGGAAAAAGCTCATGATTCGCATTTTACGAAGAAAATGGCGTCTGGTTTACACTTGAAAATTCTTTCTGCGTGGAAAAAAAACTAGAAAAAATGACTCAAAACTTGAGAGTGAAACCTTCGATCTTCAATGGTCTGAAAACCAGTCGCCATGTTGTATCTCACAAGCCTTCTGAGCTTATGTTTTGACTGTTAACTGCTGTCGAGTCGAACTGCGTTAACTGGGCTGCAAATACCTGATGTCCGACAGCCACAGAAATCCCATACAAACTCAAGTAAACACGGCCGTTTGGACTGACAAATTAACGATCAGGCGCACGTTTCTTTTAAGCCTTGAAATGGAACACTTACGGTGAAAACATTTCCGTAAACTAACAAGCAAACACTTACCACTTCGTCAGATGAGCTGTTGAGCATTTTGTTGTTATTTTTAGCATAAATAGGCCACTCGCTAGACAAGTGTTTAGGCGTTTAGAATTGATTTGATGTCCAACAACTGGACTTTTAAGCCAACTTAAATTACATAAAGTAGCTTATCAATATCCTAAACTTAAGCTGGAAGAAGAAGTGAAATAAGAGTGCTTTGTATTCGGTAGAAATATGTGATGAAACTAAAGTGTCCGACCATAGGTACCAATACCTTATGCAAAGATGCGATAGTGCAAGTCAAAATTGTTGCAGAATGCAAGAAAGATTTGTTGTTGAAGGCTGTAGCAATACGGGAAGCTTAGGATATAGAGTATTCCTCTATCTTGATGACACTGGACCTGAGGCAAGAAAAACCCTACTGTAAAAATCTAGAGATTTTCATGGCCTGTAGTTTCTTCTCTAACTTCTAGTGGAAAGCTCAACATTGTTAAGGTACTGCATAAGACACAAATTTGGGATTGGACCATTGTGAACTCAGCAAACAATTCCCCGCAGGGCTTGAAATAATTTTCTGGCTGGCGCCAGTCAAGTTTTCTGGTCAAATCTATTTGCGCTCAGACAAGAAACAAATTTTATCTGGACAAATGTCTAAATATGAAGCAAGTACATTTAGTGAGCTTTTGCTGTGGAGTAGCTCATATTCAGTGCAAAAAGTACGCAATACACAACACAACCACAATGTTCAGTAAAATTGACATAATTACACTATTGCTTCCTGTTGCTTCTACTATTCAATTATTTTTTGAAGTTGCGACGTGCTTTACATGTAATGGCTGTTATTTTGGAAGTTGGGACGTGCTTTACATGTAAAGGCTGTTGTCATGGTGGAGAGGTGGTCGTTATAGAGGGGGTAAAATAAGAGAAAATGTATGGACTGTCGGCTGGGATAAAAAAGTTGCAGTGGCTGTTGTAGAGAGGTTGCTCATTGGAGAAAATTCAACTGTATTAGCATACACATGCCAGTAGATAAGCTACTCTGGAAGACCCATCTTTCATTTGCTTTCCTTTTTTTTTTCGCAAACACGAATAATGTACAGCTTCCAGGTGATCTGGTGACGTCATTGCACGAGACCGGAGAGAAAATTTTATTGCCGTATCCCATAAGGCAGCCTGCGCGTAGTTGTGAGTTTGGATTTGAATGATGGCGGTCACTGCCAGTGTGTTGATGCTTTTCAGAATTATTTTGTCTTGTCTTATACCGTGCTTCGAACTCAGAATTGTGCTGTAAATATGAGANATTAAGATTGTTGAGGCTTTGAACTGGTGAACTGGTGAACTAGCTATGTATTTGTGGATTTTTAAACGAAAAAATTGGGAGGGTAGTGTCACTTTAATCTTATCTAATCTAATCTTAATCAGGACTTGTTAGGTCGTGATAAACCAGCCAACTTTAACATAATATTCAATGGTGATAATGACAAATTTATAGAGCAATAAGTGGCTTGCATGCAGCGGTATTTACAAAAGCATGATCCATTAATTTACAAATTATGACTTAATGGGTGATTCCAGAAAATATCCATACCTATACCATGGGCAGCTTTTTGGAATTCCGAAGGCAGGAGGGGGGGTCCTTTGATCTGGAAATCCAAAGGCATGGGGTAATTATGATTGGAATTCTGAGGGCATGGGGGGTTTTCTAGAGGGGACAGGCAAGAGTTGGATAGCACAAACAAACTGACGACACTGCTGACTACTGTGGAAAACAAGATAAAAGACAAGCATTGATCAATCACCCATGTGTTCATGCTCATTTACAGAAGAAAAGTGATAAAATCTGGGTTGTACTTTGGGCTCCAGAGGCCTTAAAGTTACTGAATTTCTTGTCAGAAAGTCGTTTGCAATGAATGGTGGCCTGCTGGCTAACCTGCTACATTTGTTTACAATGCACCAGTGATACATATTCATAAAGAAACCACTTAAAAGGTATCTGAAGAAGTGAATATTGCTCGTAACTGCAAAGGTAAATTAGGGAAGGTGTGCCTAACATTCTATTTTCCATGGTAATTTACACATAAAACAACTGAAATTTTTATTCCCTCACTAGTTTAATCAAAAACTCGTTTCAAAATTGCGACTCAAGAGGAGGACGTTTCAGTCACTTGTGTGCTCATTGGTTAATTTTTATTGTCAATAAGCGGACAGACACATGAATTTATAATTTATGTGATACGTCAATGAGCAAGAGCGGACAATTTGACAATTTGTTATCATAAAAAACAAAGTGATGTCCGTTTTTAATGTGTCTGTCCTGTTATTGACAACGAATTTCATCATAACATTGAGAAAGTAGTCTGCGGATCCACTTGGACTGACGCTTGAAAAACTGACGTCAATTTGTTAAACTGAACATTTCTAAGTCATTTCCTCCCAGACCACAGCACCCACACAACGCTGAATTAGGGTTAAGTTACTAATAAAGCACTATTTTCAGATGCGTTACGTGGCCGCTTACCTACTTGCCACCCTGGGAGGGAACAAAAGCCCAAGTGCATCAGACATCACGGATATTCTCTCAAGTGTTGGTATTGATGTGGACCCGGAACGCCTTGATGTTGTTATTAACGAGCTGAGCGGGAAAGATATTGATGAGGTGGGTCTATGGTTAAGGTCATGTAAATGTAAGTTGCAGCTACTTGATGTAGGTTTAAATTATTTCTTTAGACTGTTCACAGCCCTCTATTTTCTCATACTTTCATTCAATTGTTGAATGCGTGGAGTAAAAATCACGAGAGAACTGGTTGCCAGTGCAAAACAGGAGACTTGACAGGTTAGGGGGTGGGGACAGAGAAAATAGTGTTTCAGCCAGAAAATTTTTCTTGAGGGCCAAAGTGGCCCCTGAAGACCTTTTTTAGGGGCCAATTTTTTAGGAAAGGGGCCAATAAATTGGAAGCTACAAAAGGAAAAATGTGTCAGGGTACCAAGGAAAATAAAGCAGTTTATCAGGATCTAGGATAAAATTTAATAGTGAGTGCTTTTTGAAGTGTTTCTACTCAATAAATTTCTTTTGAATCAGATACTAGTATGATCCGTGCATTACAAGAGAACAGTCCTTAGGCATACATAATGTAGTCAATGATCAAGGGTTTGCAATGCATTATAGGACGATTTCAAACTTGGAAGTTTTCCGATGTGAGATAAATACAGCAGAGGAAAAGGATGGATTGACTTGTTTTCTCATGTTGAATGTTTTAGAAGCAAAGATCTTTCAATATGATTTTCTAGAAGGACATAATGTGTGACATAATAACCAGATTGATCGTCAACACAGAGAAATGTAGTTGCCATTATGGTGACTAAACCAGAATTTTTGCCGAATTTTGGTCGCCAAGGATGAAGTGTTAGTTACATTGGTGACCGTATCTGTCGCAATTTCAAGCCCTGGGATGGCTTTTAAAATAATACACCGGGTTAAGCCTGTATTTTTGTAAAAGGAAAGGGCCAAATTGGCCCTTTCTTCATTTTTCTGGGGGCTATCTCTGATTGCAATGCGGTATTCCCGCAATGACGCGCTCTGGCGGAAACACTCCCAATGCAATATTTGACTATAATGGATGGTCTGTAAGGCTCCCAGATGCAGAGAGTAAAGCATACTGTTACTACCTAAGTGCCATGGAGGGGACTGGGGGTCAGAAACTGGGAGAAATAAGTGCAGGAAGGCTACAGAAGGCAGATCAGGAAATGATGGAAGACAGGATTCCTAAGATGGAAAAGTGTAGAGAAAAGCAAAATTTTCAATAACTAGATAATCAGAATCAGAAGGAAGGTTAAGAGAAGTAGGTAAGTAGGAACATCTGACCACA